TGCTTGTATTTATCTTAAAATTAAATCGAAGTTCATATGGCATTCAAATTTTGTTTTTTAAATTAAATTATCACATATAATAACTTAACATTTCTATATTAATTTCTATATTAGATTCGTTTTCTTGACCGCAGTTGAGATTCTAAAATACATTAGGGGATCATATTGAATAGCTCAGCGCAAGGTGTGATTAACAGTTCAGAACAATATATCTAATTTTAATTGCAATTTATTGTAACTTCTGTCTATCTATGAAATCGTAACACCCATTCCTATGTATATATATCCTAGTCTAATGAGATGAGCAGCTGATTACACTAATCGTGAGCCGCATATATTTGAAAAAGTAATCGTGAGCATTCATCATTGAGAAATAAAAGTTTAAATTTTTTTGTTTCTTCTAGATTCTTAATATCACTAAAATTTCTCCAATATCATTTAAAAAAATAAGAATCAAAGACAAGCAAGGCAACAAATTTTTTAAATTTAAACAAATACAAAATTTATTAAAAAAAAAATATGCTGCTCACGATATTACACTGTAAACTGACATTACAGAATCTGTTATAACTATTCATCCTAAATGTATGCAAAAAATATAATTTTTCTTTTATTATCATTTTTTTTTATCGTAAATTAGCTGTTTGTTATTCAGCTTTTGTGTTGAATATTATTCAGCTTATGTTGAAAACCGTATTTGAAATAATGATATTAAGGTTAAATAAATTTAAAAAAGATATCAGATTTAAAAAATTAAAATAAATTCATAAAATTATTTTTTCACTTATTCTTTCAGAAAGTAATTTTTTACATATTTATTATTTTATTGAACATAACAATTTAATAAATTATACAATTGTGAATTAAATGTCACAATTAAATTTCAAAAATTTTTCAGGCTCTATGAAAGGAATTTGTGATTACAAGTAAACGTAGATAAAAGTAACTTGAAATAAGGGAAAAACCTCTGTTATTAAAATTATTTTTTCACACTTTCCGGAATATGCTAACAATTTCGGTAGTGCACATTTGCACCCCATTGAATATTTTCACCCTACTGCATATTTGCACCCTATTGCATTGAAATTCTTTGGTTATGTCAAATGCAATTCAACTGATTATGTGCGTTTTCTTCACATTTCCAATTGTATGTGTTTTTGTTTGCAAGTGGAATAGGAATTAGGTTTCTTGGATTTTTTCTTATCCTAGTTAAGCCGTAAAATTAAATTTGGTGGAATATCTATATCAGGCTGTAAGTGATTTGGTAGGAATAATTAATGTTTAGTTGTTAATAAAAATTTTACGATTTTCAATAAGCTTACATGCAAATCACAAAACAAAAAACATTTAATATACACTCAATTAAAACAAAATTAATATTTATTTATTTTTCAAATAACAAAAAAATTTTATTTTCATGATTGTGAATTAACCAAGCCATTGTGGTGTTGTAGGATCTGGTGGTGGTGTATATTTTATAGTTGGTATCGTAATATAGAGGCATATATTTCTTCCTTTATTATCCAAAATGCATCTTGGTTTAAATGTTCTTGCCCTCGGATTTTCTGGTGTCATATCTAAAATATTAATAAATATTAGAAAAGATTTTACAAATATTTTAAAAAATTTAATTTTAATATTTGTTATTTAATTTCTTTTATTATTTACTAAAAAACACGTATGCTGTTGAAGGTAATGTTGTACTTTCGGTTGTTGAAATTTTATGTGTTGATGTCACTGATTGGTTTCCTGTTACTATTTTGTTTGTTTTCATTGTTCCATTATTGTTGATTTTCTGTTTTTGGTTTGGATTCTCTAAATGCTTTTACAAAAAATGTTTTTATAACAAAATTTTTACGAGTTGTAAAATGTTTTTTTTTTTTTTTAAATTAAATGATCAATAAGCCGCCGGAAATCGTATAAACACGTTAATGTTATTTGCAAGTAGATGTTAAGAGAATTTTATTTCTATTTAGAGTATGGGGTGATATGTCAAAAAATTGAAATACTAATTTGAGAGAATATGTTTTTTCAAAAAAAAAAAAATACTCAGTTAAGTTTTATTTTAACGAAAATTAAGATAACCTCACTTTTAGAATTTAATTAACCCTAAAATTTGTTTATCGAAAATATATTACTCTTGAAGGAAATTTACATGAATTTATTTACAATTTAGGAGAAAAACTAATGCTATTACAAAAAAAAAAAAACAAAAAATAATAAATTTTTATTGCAAAATAAAGCAAAATTACTCAATTTTTTAACAATTTCATGCTCAATTCCATAATATCGTGCTCATAAACAAAACAACAAAATGTCAACAAATTCGATCAAATAAAGACCGTCACCAATATTTTATAAATTCTCTTACTATTTCTGTTATTAATTTTAATTAAATATTTTTATTCATTCATTATTATTGAAAATATTTACAAGAATTCAACACCAATTAGTATTTTCTAGGTTTTATATGCCTTTCATATTTACCCGCTTACCTGCATCTTATTATATATACAAAATATTTTTACAAATACGTAAAAATGTGCACCCAAAAAATTCTCTAAATTATATACAGAGAAAAAAAAAACTCGTTTTATGTAATTTTCAAAATTAATTTACATTGTTTTTTATTATTATTATAAATTAATTAATTTTATATTGGAAAGAAAAAAATTGACAATTTTTATTCATAAAATTTTTCTTTTTACAATTTTTTTTTTATATTTTACGTACATTACATAAATTGCAATATTTTTATAAGAGAGAGTTGAGAGAGAAATGTCTCTCTGTCATTCTCTATATACAATATTAAAAAAAATTTTCAAATTTTTTTTTTTCTTCGCATTGGATGTTCTTGCGACTTTTACAAATTAAAAAAAAAAAACTCTAAAAATTCATTAAAAATAAATTAAAAAAAAAAAGAGAAAAATTATATTGCAGCTAACTTAATGCTTCACAGATACGCCAGAGACAGTGTTTTCGTTTTCTTTTATTTTTCGATTTATTAATCTCTCATAATTTGCCCAATTTTATGCAAATCAATTAAATTTATCAAAAATTTTTATTAAGGTTATGTTCATTTCCTAAACTTTTGACTGTAATCACGGACGTGATTATTAAAACTTTTAGAAAATTTAACAAAAATGTCCTTTTTTTTTTCTAAAACAAAAGATGGATTTTAGAATTTTAAAGATGAAACTTGTTTCGAATGAGGCGTTTGACGAGATTAAGTTAAGAAATTTTTTTTTTTGTGTATTTTATGTATTTAATTTTTTTCCTACATAATTATTATTATTTATTAATTTATTTAAATTATATTGACATTTAATTTTTTAAAAATAAATTATAATTTATTGAAAAGCTATATTTAATAAAAATAATTCCTAAAATACCCTCCTCATATCATAATACATAAAATAAAATTAAAAAAAAAAAAAAAAGATCTATTACACAGCCTTTGATGCAAAAACTAATACTTAGCAAATTATATAGAATGTTTTCATTTTATTTTTATTTGTTTTTACTTTTTTTTTCTTCTTTCATTTTTAAAATAAATTAATAAATAAATTACGATTTTTTTTTGTTATTAAATATTCCTTTATTTTTTTCTTTTTTATTTACTTTTTTAAAATAACTTTACTACATAAAAATTTTATGTATATGGCAAGACTTTTTTCTTTTATTTTGTAATAAAAAAGAATTTAATATTCAAAATATTGATAAAAAAAGAGGTACACGTACGGATTGGAAATATTTTTCTTTTTACGAAAATTCATTGACTCTTATGGGTTAGGTGTATAAAATGCAAGGATCTCTGTAGCACCTTTCATGAATACGGTAGTCTAATTAGCATTCGAGTAAAATTTATTGTAATGAAATTTGTAAAAATTATTGTAATTTGAAAAAATAATGATTGCTAGGAATTTTAATTTTTAAATTCGGAAAACATGATTTATGAAAAAATTCGTTAAGATGTTGAATTTGGAGCCAGAAGTTGTGTGGAAGTTATTCAAAAGAGCATAAGACCATTTTGCGCAGAAATGATATTAATCCTTAAATAAAAATCATAACCTGTTCTCCTACTTCATTAAAATTAAGTAAATGTTGTTCATGACCGTTTGGAAACAGATGACGTCATTGAGTAATAATAATTTTATCTAAGAAGGAGCAGGTGTTTTGTTTTCTATTTCTAGGTTTATATCATATTTTCACAAAATGGAGTTATACTCTTTTAAATACCTTCCACATAATTCGAGTAAATAGTAGCAGTACTTTTTTATTGTAATTAAATGGAGTTTCATTAAATGTATTAAAATATTTTATTAAATTCAAAAATCAAAATTAAAATTAATTTTATAATCCAGATTATTCCACAATAATATATTGATTGTTATTAAACAAAATTGAATTTAAAAAATTTCAACAAAAAAAAAATTATTTTTGAACAATGCTTAAAGTAAAAATGTTCTCCTAAATGTATGCAATTTTTTTGTTAAAATTTTTCATTGTTTATTCACAAATGCAATGTAATTTAATGAAGTTTAGCACCACTAATGAATTTTATTATCAAAGAATAAAATTATTTTTGTATTTTATCTTGTTTTAAATTTTATAATCTGTGAGGCATCTATTAATTTTAAACTTTTTATTTTTAATTATTGGGCTAGAAAACAAAAAACAAACAAAGTATTAAAATAAATAAATTAATTCGCAAGAAATTTTGCTTAATAATAAAAATTTTCTTACACAATATCATACACAAAAATATATATAAGAATTTCCATTAAAAACAAATGTTTTTTTTTTTGTCTGAAATTAAAAATAAACTAGGAACTAATATATAATAAATATATTAAAAATTTAAAATTTCTTTTGAAATTTAAATTAGTAAATTTTGAATCATTATTTTTTTTTGTTAATTATATTTAATATTTAATTATTTAAAAGAAATATGTGATATTTACAAGGGGAAAAAAATAAAAGGGAATATTGCTGTTAAATATAAAAAATATTTGTTAAATAAAAATAAGCTATTTAAAATTTATAACTATAAAATAATATTATTATACAGCGAAAAGAATTACAATAGAATTGTTTTATATTGTACTTAAAATATGTACTTAAAAGGTAACTTAATTACTTTTAAAGAATTATTTGAAAAGTAACTAAACTTGAAATTAGAATGAGTACAACTATACGATCACGTGAATTTTTTAAAAGAGAAAGGGGAAATAATTAAAATTTCCTTGTATTATATTGTTGAATTTATATTACATATATTCTTACATGAAACATTTTTTATCATGTTGAAGAGTCTTCATTTACGCACTCTCTTGCAATTTTATGTGTACAGTAAAAAAATGACATTTTAAAAATTATGTTAGAGAAATTATTTGGATTTAATTTAGTCAATTTTTGAATTTTATATGAAAAACATGATGAAACTCGTGTAAAATGTAAAATTTTTCATAGTAATGCGGGGTGTTATGTTATTACTTTCTTTGAATGAAATATATTGTGAAATTATTTGAAATATTTAAAACAATTCTAATATTCATTCTATTTCGCTGTTTTTCTTTTTTTATTTTATTTATAGCACATTTTATTCGAAAAAATATATCACAATGCAAATAATATAAATCAAAAAAAATTATATGTATATTATTAAAAAATTATATTAAATAAAAAATATTAGCCCAATTATTGAAATTAAAAACAAAATTAAACAATTCCAATATGAAATAAAAAAAATCAAAAATTAATAAACCACCAATTTATTTTGTTAAGAAAATTTTAATTTCATATTAGTGTTAGTGAAATCATATATTAAAAAATTTCTATATAAATTTTATTTACATAATTTAATAAAAAATTATTTGAAAAAAATATTTACAATTTTAATTAAAAAAAAAAACATAGAAATTTAAAGTGGTTGAATTTGTTAAACAAACGTAAGTGCTGTGCAAGCCAAAAAACATACTACTCTGTTTCGTTTCCCGTTTATAACAAAAATATATATTATATAATGTTGGTACTCACTGCAATTTGATAATAAATTTGAAATATAATTAAAATTCCCAAATACCAATTCATATTTTCTATATTTTGTTTAAATTTAATACAAAACTAATTGAAATATTGGGAAAATAAAATGTTGTGATAAAAAATAAAAAAAATTTTTTTGATAATTCTAATTAAAATTTCGTGCACATGTAAAATAGCAACCAATCTAATATTAACTGGTATTTGAAACTAACTGCGGGAAGGAAAATAAAATAGTTTGTATATGAACAAAGAAATTAAATTTTTTCACCTACATAGATTTGTATGTATAGTCAGTGTAACGAAATCAACTAATCATTATTTACCTTTCGCTTTTTTATTATTTAGTTATGAATTTTATCTCGATCTGAAGTGTAAAACTATAAAAAATAAAGTAAAAAAACAGCCTATAATTATTTTATTTCGGATTTAATAATAGGATTAGGGGAAAAATAACAGCAAAATTATAGAATATGAAAAAAAAAATCTATAGAAAATTTATAGTTGATTTTTAAATCTCACTTTTTATCAATAAAAAAAATTTCAAAAATTAGTTTTTAACTAATAAAATAAAAAAAAAATTTACATAACAAAATCTCATCGTTCGTTAACAAACAAAAATCAAAAAACAACAAAAATTAAAAAAAAAGTTAATAAAACCGAATTTTACTCTTAATAATCGGGATTTAGTTTGCGATTTTAGAAGAATTAAAAACTTTTGTAATTGTGTTTTTTTTTCTCTCGTTTTATTAAATTTAATTTAATTTAATTTATTTAAAAAAAAAATAATTGTCGTTTTTCTTTTGTTATTTGCATTAATTTAATAGTCTTCGTCTTCAGGTGCATCTGTAGCATAAGTTAGCTCATTAAGGTAAAACCATTTCTGAAATGAAAGTATCATTATTAATAATTGTTGGCTGTTCTATTATTTGTTCCTCATATTCATTATAATTATTATTATTATTATTATTATTGTTGTTATTATTATTATTATTATTGTTATTATTATTGTTACTGATATTATTATTAGTTACCGATGATTCTGTACAATTAAAATTATAATCCCAATCACATATTCTATATTCTTGATTGAATGATGTTTCATTAGCGCATAAATGTGGTATTCGATTACCTTCTTCATCACACATATGGAAAATCTATATTTATAAATATATAATATTATTATATATTTAAAATAAATATATTTAATAAGAAAAGAAATATTTCATAAGAAAAGTTAAAGTATATCTAGCTAACAACATAAATGTATAGTCGGTATTGTTGAAAAAGAGACATTTAGAACAAAACGTTACAACAGTAAGTTTAAAATAGTATATGATAAGCTCATAATAGTAGATAGTAGGTTTACAATAGTAGATATTAACACTACAACAGTAGTTGCTCAAGAGTGTGCGGAAGCAGAGCTTCTCTCGACAGAGCTTTGGGACGGGTAACCAGGATCCCCTTGGACCTATTATGCAAATCAAATTGAGGAGTGCCTGAAAAGATAGGAGATCAGGGGGAAAAAGCAATATATCTCTGGCGTATCATACGTCAGGGACGCCATATCCCCAGCAGAAGTTCGCAGATACGAAAATGAAAGGCCCAAGAAGCTGAGGGCCTGCGGATCGGCTGTTGTGGCCAACCATCCCCAGAAGAGGGAAAGGTCAGAAAGCAACACTCCGGATGCAGGGCCCTCAAAAAAGACGTCGATAAAGGGTACATTGAGGGAAAGGTTCTTAAACGACACCTGAAAATGACTTCTTGTCGGGGATGCAGTAGCACAGGTCAAGGTGGCCATCGCTCATAGATTGTATCCAGATGAGAGACGATCCGAAGTCCAGATGGGGAAAATCAAAGTAGCTCTCATGGATTAAATGGATAATGCTTTCGCCCACAATTCACTGTAGCCCACATAGATGGATATCCGTCACATGCAATAATCATGCTAAGATGGATGATTCATACGAGTTTAAACTGATAAGAGATAGAGTCACAAACATGTTACAGAGATCTTTATACTTAAGTATGTTTCACTGAGCTATAATGTACGCTATTTATATTATTATATCATTTCATAACGTATGCCATAAAAATATCAAATAACTTTAAACGGCACAAAATAAGGCAATTAAGAACTTATTTGGATATAAAGCAAAAACGGTCACACGGGAAATTCATATTAGCAACAAATTGGTAAGGATCAATTTACACATTATTTAATTGTAAAGTTAACAAATCAAACGCATTAAATTTGTGTTAATAATTTAAACACAAACGTGAAGTTCCACTTAAACAGTGAGCGCTATTCGTACAGATTGAGAAATGCTGGAAATAATGTAAAGTCGTCGGAGGTTAGATTCAACTATCAAAATACTGTATACAACAAAGCTTACACCTTCTACCAGCAGAAAACGGCCAAAAATCATGCATAAAATTTGGCGAAGAAAAACGGCGAATTTTCGAACAATTTCAGTATATTTAAAATATTTATTTTACTTTTTCATATTTATATAAAAGTAAACTTACCTGACAATTATATTCAATATCTGCATAGAAACCTACAGGTCGATGAGTGCAATCAAATGAAAAAGTGATATTATCTAAATTTGTCCATTCTTTTGTTTTATGATTTTGAAATACTGGACTGCTTATATTGGGTAATGTTAAAGCTGAAAAGATAATTGTAATAAAAATAAATTTATAATGAATTAATAACTTATGATGAACACAAATGGTAGAAATGTTTAATTAAAGTAATAAAAACATTAGTGTTGAAAAAAAAATTAGCAAAAAACCTATAAAATTTGATGCTATTTCCGAAATGCGTCTAAAATAATATATTGTTCGTGAATAATCTTTCATTTCTATTTCTTTTAACGGAATTTATTGTGATGTGAACATTAAAAAGTTGATTCTTTCTCTTCTAAGTAGTAGTATTAAGAGACACACTTGACAACATCCCGTGTAATATAAACCCCAAAAACCATCTACCAGAACCAATCAACGTCCTTGAAAAATCCCAAAAACTGTGAAAAGATTCCCCCAGTATAAAAGATGATCCCCAGGATCGCTTCTTCTTCCTCATCAAAGATGAACAGACACAAATAAGTTGTTCCACACAATCAACACAGTAAATGGGCATCGTGGGCATCGCAAATTGCCTTCAGCGTGCCCTGGTAACTGAGTAGGATCTGAGGGCTCCCTCTCTGGTCTAGTTGCAGCAAATTCGGCCGTCGTAAACACCATCCAAACATCCGCCAGGAAAACTAGACAGCCAACAGACGGTATAATCGACACTTGCAACCCCAATTCGTCGGAAAAAGTTTGGTTCTGTATCTTCTTTTGTCCTAGAACCATCCGTATAAATAAACAATCCCGCATGCATGCTTAACCCCTCAGTACTCCATTCCTCACTTTGTGGAATCACAATTCCATAATCAACCTTTCAGTCAGTATATGACACCACAAAATCAGACCTAACATCCCCAGTGTGCACTCCACACTTCCCTAAGAGATATTTTGTAAACAAACTTCTTCCTCTTCTTAAGATAGAAGACGGTTTAAAGGATATTTTCCTTTTTTATACCTAGGAGGAATATGGGGCTGGTGCATGATTTTCATACATAACTACTTATGCCGTAGCTTCAGACGTCATATGGTTTACACTACTGCAGAGTTAAAACTACTCAATTAATTTTAATTGATCTAAACCAAATCTAAACAATTATTTTCATTAACATTATTATTCTACGTAGTTATGAATAAATTAACCATAAACTCACTAGTCTAAAATAATTATTGTTTAATTGAAGAATTCCATGAAAACGTTTTTAAAATTTTAATAAAGGGAAACTAAATCTTTTATAATAATAATAATTTTAATGATAACCAATAAAAATAATAAGCAAGTAATTGACCAAATTAATTTTTATTAGAAAAAAAATTACAATTTCATAACAATTGTAAAAAATTTCAAATATTCGAGCGCCCTCTATATTTATACCATTTTTAATTTATATTGGAATTCAACCATCAAAAAAAAAAAAAATTAATACAATTTTAAATTTTTTATACCTGTAGCTACCAATAACCTTTATTTTTAATTTTTATAGTTTTGTTTTTTAATTCCTTCTAGTATTTCGTTGCCAATAAACTGATTAGCATTAACATGTTGTTAAATCCAAAAAAAAAAAATGTTAAGTCATTCGTTGCTCTATAATCTCTTATATTAAAATATGCTATTTAAGATAATGAAAAAGCCGGCGTCATCACACTACAATTACACATCTTATCAACATCGAATAATAAAATAAAAAATAAGAAAAAGTACAAATTGGAAACTTGCTTAGAAAGACACAAGAAAAACTTGAAAGAAAAAAACTTCTTATATTTTATAACGCCAATAGCAGCACCTTAAATATACTTATACACAGACATAATAATATTAAAAAATTTTTAAATAAATTGAAAATTCTTTAAATACCTGAAATGATATGACCTGAAATTACCCTGACCAATTCTTAAATCAACCAAATAACTATGTGTACTTAAAAATAACAAAAGCAAAAAAAATAAAATACCAAAGTTTTTTTTTTCTCAGTGTTTTTGCTTATTAAATCATTCACATTAAACGTGTTAAACTAAACTTTACTACCATAATGGTATAGTACCTTACATACATATACATAATGTATAATGTATGTATATGAAATCAAGGTTATACTGCAAATCAAACTCAAATTAATTTTTATTTTCTAGATGAAATTAAATTAAATTAAATTAAAATAAAAAAAAAAAATAATCTACAAAGGTTGTTTTTATTAAAGAGCATACTGGTTTATTATTTTTCTACATACATGTACGTACATATACTATATACATATATGCAGATAATTCATTGGAATTTCAAGGGCGCACTAAAGATATACTAATGAAATACACACAAATGTATGTATATGAAGTATAATGTTATAATAATAGTGTATTTATAAAGAAATACTCCCAAAGGTGATCGCTTCCGCTCCGTTTAATTTTAGTAAAGTTCTTTTTATCCAAATATTTTTACATTTTTTCTTCAGTGTTTTTTTTTTTCTTTGCTTTACTTTTTTCCATATTAATTTTCTATTTATAAAAATAATTAATACTCAGTTCTATATGACAGTATAACAGTTACGGGCAGGTGCCATATATAAATGATAATCAAATAAAAAATCGACCCTACAACAATAACAGCATGATCGGGGATAATTATTAAATATTTCATTATTAAAGATATTAAATTGATAATGGCATCTGACATCGAATATTTATTAGAAATGCGGAAGTAGAAAATATAGAAAAAAAAAGAAAACGAGACAATACAAGAAAAATTTAGTTGTGATTCAGGTGATATTAAAAATACCACATCGTTTGTAATGTGTCAAAAAATGAAATTTTATAGTGATAAAACCACAAAATCTGACCCTGATTTGGAAATTCTATGTGATTGAAAATTTTACAAATTATACGTGATATAATAATGTAAAAGACCATATACGGTGTGTATTTCAAATGCGATAATACTCGTATATAACACATTTTACATAATAACGCATTAAAATGCACTCAAGTGAAAGCGTCATGAATAATGTTTCAAATTGACAAGTTAAACACTATATGCGTGCATAATTGGGTGAAAAACATTTTAAAAAAAATTTGAGAACAAAATTTATGGTGAAAATTCTCCTTATTTTCATCAATGACTTCATAAATAAAAAATGATTTGTGAAACATTGCTTAGATTTAGTTTGTGGTTTATGTATAGTTTTGCCTGTTATTGTGTAATATTGACAGGCAAAACAAAGAAAACTTTAAATCTCTTAAAACTTAAACCATATAGGAAATGATACATGAATTTCTTTAACAAGTAATAATACGAGTATGTAGATGTTTTTAAAAAAGAAAATATTTTGATTATGCAGATGAATGTTTTATTTAAAGTAAAAAATTTAGGTTCCGTCTCAAATATCCATAAAAGTATATAGAAATTAGCCGTCATTTTAAGATGATCATTATGAATAAAATAAATTGGAAGACGTTCAAGTACGAGGAATTTGTTTCATATAAAAGATATTTCAAAGTTCTAAGGCTTAGTCCATAAATATTTTAGGGGTACACCCTGCGGAGTCTGTTTGGCACACCTTTAATTAATATAATAAAGCCCCAACTTACTTAATCGGGGAAGTGGGTTCTTCAAAATTAACTTCAGTTTGTGAAAATTACGATTTACTAATTATATGTCGCCTTCTGCAAAATTTTGCAACAAAATTTATTAAAATTCCGTTACCTTTACATCAAAAAATTGCATACATTTAGGTGCATTGGGATAATTAATAAAAAAAACTGATTGCTTCCTTCCAATACTGCGAATTTTATTTTTTCATTTCTTAGGAATACAATTTAATACTAATGTTGAGCGAATGTGGGGCCTTTTTATGAATTTTCTATATTTTAATCTTGAAATACTGCTCAGGTAGGCCACCGTATTAATAAATTTTTACGAACAACTTCAATCGGGTCAACTTCGGTGTTATTTGTTTGTTTTTCTCAATAATTTTTATTCATCGCTAACTAAGCAGTTTTTATACTTCTTTAGTTAAATATTTACAAAATAAATTTTTTCAAATTTGTTCTAATTAATAAGCTTTATTTTTATGAAATGCAATTTAAATCTAAGACTTACCTAAAATAATTGCACATATTAATAAAAATTTATATACGTTATCCATTGTTTGTTTGATTTTTTTTTTCTAAAAAAAAATATTTAAAAAATTTACAATAAAAAAAAAATATTTAAAATATTTTTTTTTTCTTATTTAAAAACGAAGCGTTCCAGTTCCAGTTCAATAAGCGTATATATTAAACACACACAAATACACTCAAAATATCAATAAATTATTTTTCCGATCTACTTGTTAAATAATTTATAAAATTAAAAACTCCATAAAAAGAACACATCAACAGAAAAACGGGTATGCTTTGACACTTCTTAGTGCTCCATTGAAGACGATTTTTTTTGTGTTGTATTTCGTGTGTGTGTGTGGATTATTCTTATTCTTAAAATGAGAATAAATTGAGCTATTGAGTTGTTTTTTTTTTTTGTTTTCAATTAAGAATTTTGTGTATTGTCTGCTTTTCTGCTTTAATTTTCTTCAGCTACTGGTTGATTGTTTTGCTTTTTCGTTTTGTAGAATAATTTTAAAAAATGAATTTATAAATTCTTTAAATTCATTGTTAGCTGTCAATTATGTCAATTTTTTTTTCGTTTTTGTGTTTATTAAATTAAATTTTATGAAATTCCGATTTCCTTTTGATAAATTAGAATTTTTTTAATAATAATTTATTTATGAGCTTTAAAAATTTTTACACGCAAAATTTTTTTCAGTATAAATAAGATCTGAAATGACAAAAAAATAAAAGAGTTTTAATTAAATAATTTTATTTAATATATTGAAAATTATTGATAATTTTAAATTTAAGTATTTAATTAATTATAATAGTTTCTAAAAACTTTAATAATAATTATATTATGTAGGTAGAGCTAGATCTTAAACACGCAAGAATTTATAAGAGTATATTTTGTTTATCTATAATGAATTTTCAAATTACGATGACATTAATGAAAATTCAAATATTTTGACATTTATTGCATTGACAATGAATTAACCAATAGTACTGCATGTGATATAGTGTAACTTAGGCGCTAGTTATAAAATAGAATAATAGATAGTACTAAATAGAATAAATATTAAATATAGAGTACAGTTATGATTTGAGTATACGTCACTCTCTTAATTCCGACAAAATGTAGGTATAAGAATATGAGTTTTAATTATAATTAGTAATTTAAGAATTAATTATGCTACTAAATAAAGACAAGTAAAAGCCAATATACAAATCTTTTCAAAAATTATAGAAATTGTAAATAATTAATTAATTTTTTATTAATTGTAAATAACCATTCATGGAATTTTACCAAGTAAAATTATTTCAACTTTTTCAAATTAAATATTTGTGCATCTTTACCAATACAAATTCGAGGTCTATTACGGACGCGTACTCTTTAGTTGAAAATTAAAAGAACACGATTCGCCACATTTAGTCTTCAAATCAGAAATCAAGCAATAAAACTCAACTACAAGCATATTATCCGAACAGTACACGAATTTCTATAGCGTATAATGTATGCGAACTTTTATTTCTATAACACAAAATAAAAACGCAATGAATGGATTTGAATTTTCAATACTATTTTTACCATAATAATTTGTTCTTCCTCATATTGGCAAATTAGTTCGAATTTTAAATTATTTTAATTTCTGCATACACACCACACATATTGCCACATTAGATTTTCTTTATTTTAATGTTGTTCAATTTTTATGCTTAAATAAATTTCCATTTCAATGAATTTCATTAAATTTCAATTAAATACACAAAAGTTTAAAATTAGCATAACCATGCCAAAATATATAAATTTTTTTTTTTTGTTATGTTAAGGAATTCAAGAATACCCAATTCACTTGTTGCGCAGACATAAAAAAAACTTTGTTTTTTTTCAAAACTCATGCAATCCCAAAAAACAAAAATATATTTTTCTTTTCTTTTCTTTAAATAGTTTTGTTTTCTTTCCTCCTAATTATTATGTAATCGAAATTCACAATCAGAAAATATTAATAAAAATGTAATTTTAAATTCCATTAATTAATGATCTTTTTTTTTCTCTGTCTCTCTTTTATTTGTATAATATTTACGATATGAGAAGGTGTAACTGTAATTTTCAACTCCAATAACCTCTTTATAAATCTAATCACTTTCACAGACATTCATTTGAAAAAAAAGGATTGCCCAATTTGTAAATAAAAATACAATATGCCATATCGGAAAATTCCCTAACACAAAAAATAAAAACTAGAAGAAAATATAAAATGAGGTCAAAAATAGGAAAAGCTTTTTCTTATTAATGTAAAATATTTGAACTGTAGCATTCGAGGTAGTCAAACATAATGAAAATTTTGACTTAAAGACTGAGGTTAAGAAACACGAGTCGGCGAATTTGTTCAAAACGTTTGATCTTCAATCGAATATTTAGATTTGGTAAAAACTCTTTTTGACTAGAGAAACCGAATGAAAATAAACAAAAATCTATATTTTCGGCTGTTTAGTAGTTCGGAAGTAGTATCAACAATTTTCTGTAACATATTATAATCTAGTTCATGAATTTTAGTAGGTTGTTCACAGCCGATCCTGAAATATCTTTCAAACTTTCAAACTGAACTTCTCACAAAGATGTTTTCCTCATTTAAATCAGAAAGGGTGCAATAGCAATGTTCTGCTGCAGGTTCTCTATTTTCTTGATAATTCGGATACCGCAATAAAATGACCGGTAATTCGATAAATATAGTTTTTGACCATTGTGCGCAAGAGACAGTGTTTCGATGCGCCAATGAGCAATTTGAGCTATTCCATCCGAAAATCTAATATTCGTACTGGAAACTCATCGATTGACATCGACTGACATTTTGTCTCTTACATTTTTCAAAAGCTCGCGACATAGGATCCTTTCCAAGTATATTTTTAACTTTCTCCATAGTGAGTGTTTGATATAAATACTGATTCAGATATTGCGATGAAAAATATGAACTTCATAATACAAAACAAAATAAAAGTTTTAATTTTCCAAACTAAAAACACAAAATAAAAAACAATTTTTTTAATTACATAAAATATTTGAGCCTACCTCATTAAAATTCTTTTACATTTGTGATTTTTGGAGCAATAATAACAAAAAAAATTTTCAATAAGATTTTTTTATCTTAATAATCTCCAAAACAATGAATAATAAAAAAAAAATTAAACAAAACAGGAAAAACATTGAAAACTTTTGAGATTATTGTGAAAAAATATTTGAGTTTATTGTGATCGCAAAAAATTTTATGAATTCACCATAGTGCCCGTGTCGTTTCCAACAATAATATTGTGTTTGAAAAGAGCTCAAAAACAAACCTATTAACCACAATAATCTTATTATTCATTATAATCGTTACAATATTGAAGTTTAATTTAAAGTTGATAGAATAACCAAAATGTTAACGCGGATATGTGGAAATAAAGGGAAATTTTGTGGTTTTTGAATTCCTTAAATAAGCCAAAGAAAAATTTTGAGCATTGTTTATAGATTTGAGCGCATTTTACTCTATAATATTATTTCATTTATTTGTTCATCCAGTCATTAATCATTTATGAAAAACTTAATTTATTTTTTTGTGTTATAAAAACCATTTGTAACTCTTAAAGTTCATGAAATCTTTGAAGTGTTTAAAGCACTACTGAACTCTATCGCAGTTCGTAAATAGAACACTGTCTTGTATTAGAATTCTGTTATATAAAAGCAAAAACTATTTTAATTTGAATATCGAGAATTTTTCGTTTATTTTCCAAATTAAACTTATAACCATCTACCGGAACAAAGGGGCATAAGTACTATTACTTATACTCGTATGCACAGAATATTTAACTATTCCTGTTTCCGCAGAATTGCATAATTGAAAGTGCTCTACTCGAAGAATGTTATATATATAAAGCGTTATACAGTATAACACTTTAAACGAAACGGAAAGAGCACCACATTTCATTCAACTGAACATAAAAACATTATTTATTGATATTCAAATCTTAAATTCTTTGAAAAATTATTGATTCTCTATTGCAGTCAAACTTTTATACGTATACCATTTTGAATCAATGTATCGATAGTTTCAAAAGTTCATCAGTAAATTACATTATAAGCAATTAACAACACAAAGTGAGCAAAAAGTCAATTTTATACAGAAAAAAATTGTTTTTAATTGTAAGACAAGTTGTTGGACAATATGAAATAAATTCTCGTATTATCTACAATTCACTGATATTACAAATTCAAAATATAATTTGTTAAATTGTATACCAAATATACATATAAGATGCATATATAGATTTAATTTAAATTAGATTGCGTTATTATGTAATCCAGTTGCTAAAAAGAATTCATCTAATGATATGCTTATACAAATAATATGGAATTAAATTTTAATAAAATATTCACCGGTTTATAATTATTTTAGTTTTAATAATTTTAATTTAATTCCACACATTTTAACATTTACGCATATTATTATTTTTCAGTCTCAAAATGTACTCAATTTACTTGGCTGCATAAATCTAAATTAATGAAAATTTAAATTAAATTTTATTGAATTGAGGCAATTTTAAATTGATATTACTTTTTTATTAGAATATTAAAAACCATCATTACCGCATTACAAAATATCTCATGTGGTCAGTACACAACCGACTGTAAGGTATTGTCCAGTTCAGTGAAAATGTTTTTGATTATGAAATCACCCTTTAAAAAACACTTGCTCTAAGCAGAGGTTGTCTTTATGTCATCCGAATTCTCTAAAGAATTCGTCAGCTAATTCAGCTGGAAAACAGAATTCAAATATTTTAAGAATTCCCGTTAATAAGCTGGTTAGATATATAGCTAAATATGCAAGATCGGCTCCTAATAAAAATTCAGTTACCAGCCGTCATAGTCTGAAGGTGAAATTCCTGAGATCCCAAAAGTTTAAGTCATTCAAAATATATACTTTTATGTGCACATCGGTAAAGCCGAACTGGAAATACAGATCTACACAAGTAGATAGTCAGACAGACATTTCTTAGAGTGTTTGATTGAATTTTAATTTGCACCCTTATCTGTCATCTTAGACTTGATTCTTGAGCTAAATAATTGTATTTCTTTTTCGAACGACATCTGTAACTCTTCGTTGAACCACTTTGTAGTGCATAGTCTTGTCGAATACTTTATAGATTTTTTTTTACAGAGCTTTTAGTTGAAATTTTTCTCAAAACTCACTGTAAAAGGAGGAAAATAGGAATAACCCTCTCAGTTCCTTTAACATTGTTGATAATTTTTAGTATAGTACATGTTGCAAATGCTTTCGAACATGTTTGAATTTCCTTTTTGCGTTAATCATAATCGTAAAAAATCAGAAACGGAACTTGTTTATTATGAGTAATTGTAAATTTCGAAAACTTTTATAAAAGACTACATGAAACTTGATACGAGTATTAACTATATAAAATTAAGATTAAATCCTTCATTTAAATTCCAATATAGTTGAATATTATTGTTTTTCAATTTAAAATACAGTAATCACCAGAAATTAATCGCAACACAGAAGTTTTTAATAGCATTCACATATAAAAATTATTGAAAAAGCGCTCAATTTATAAAACGTTAATCATATACAATTTTTGTTAACGGAACTTCCATATTATCATTAATTCTGCTTTTATTGAAGACATTAAGCATGAATCAAAAACCAAAGCAAGAAAAAGAAAAACACAACAAAT